TTTGTCTTTAAATTGCAATTTATCTAGCGTCGCCCGTAAAAAAATGGTAGCCGAATAGATTTGACGAGAAGATTTTACACGTTAAGGTTAGGGTTAAGGTTAGCTTAGGGAGAAGATTATATGTAAAATTGTCTTCCTAAGAACTTATATTAATGCTTCAAGGTTTGTTTCCTGTATTTTCTTGCGCCGGATTTGATCTACCGGCACCTAACAGGGCTACCATTTTTAAGTTTTTATTTCCATATATGGTTTTTAAACTTATGCCAATTTGTTCATAAGTAATTTTTCTGATCTCCGACTTTATGTATGTATCTTAGTTTAATCTCAAGACAAATTCGGTAGTAATATGAAGCCGAAAATACACCAAAACCAAGATTTTGACTCGTAATTTTCTATGTATATTCGGCATAGCAGCAAGTCAAGGCTGATTATTGGAAATTCTCACTTGCGGCTTCGCCTTATCAACTTTATCTTGTATACTTTCATAAATTTAAATTTTTTTGCACTTATTTTTTTAGATTAATTGTTTTGACGTACAAAACAAGATTAATGAATTTCAACACATGTTTTCGGTTAGTAAAAAAATCACCAGAAACAGTTTTGCCGTTTATGCTAAAATTAAAGAACACGATCCCAAAATTCACTTCATTCAAATTTGTGTATGATTTTTGGCAATATAATTTTTATATGAACGAGTTACATTAAGATATAAGAATTAATTTACTATTATCGCGTATACAGATATATTGCATATTCTTTGGCTTTCTTGTATCAGTTGAAACGGAAAAGATTTGCTATTATTTATATTCGAAGATATAGAATACACGTTAACATCCTTTGTAAGTAAGTGTATAATATAAAATAATTATCTAATTACTTAACATTTAAGTAAAGTCAGAGATAAATTTCAAAAGCAAGAAAGAACGAGAAAAAGGAGGGACAAAGAACTTCCTATATGTAAAGATGAATTTACAATTTACAGTGATAGTAGCGTGAAAAAACTTGCAAATTTACGACATATAATATATTCAAATAAAGAAGTTTATGAATGAAAATTATAAGGTTTTCTCGGGTTTACAAGCATATAATTAGAGAACTTCTCTTAAAAAATTAACAAATTATGTTATACTGTGCTGCACTATTATATTTAAGTTACAAGCTGAATTTAAGTTCAAGTGTCGTTATTTCTATAATTAACAATCATGCAGAAACGGCAATTAATATTAATTTCTCGCAAGAAGCTTCTGTTATCCTTGGCTGTCAATCATTTAGTCATTCATCGCCACTTTATCCGATAGCAGAATTAAAACGCCTGCAGCTCCGAAGTCCGATGTGTGACATCATTATGTACATGTATTTGTGACGCCGAAATTTCTGTCGAGTTTGCCCAACAACCAAAATTTTTTGAACAGCCTGGTAGAATAAGTCCGTGTAAAGAAAGATTAAGAGTGTGTAATCCAGGAAAACAGATGCTTAAACTTAACCCACTAATTAGGAATGTCGGAGAGTCAGTCTTACGTATACACAATGATTCTCTTTATAGTGTATCAAAAAATCCATTATCAAAAAGCCACTATATCGTTTTGAAAATTTATTAGTAAATCTATTATCTCGAGTGGATTTCATTAAAGGTAATTTTTGGCTATTATCCATTATATCGTGAGTATAATATAAAGGAGGTCCACTATAAAGAGAGTCACTGTGTATAAGGTTGCTATCCCTCTTTATTTCTAAAGTGCAGAGTCTGTGCCAGGATTTTATGATTTAAGGTTAGAGTTAGGGTTGGGACTACATTGTGACTCTCCTTATAATGGAGATTAATAGCTCATGATATAATAGATAATATCCAAAACTACTTTTAATGAAATCCATTCGATACTAGATTTACTAATAAATCTAGAGATAGTGGATTTTTGAAAATTTTTTACAATATAGAGTTGCTTTTTACGTCATTGTTTATTTGCGGTTAAGTCGTCTTTTATTATTCTAATAAAGATTTGCTATCGAATCAGCATACAATATCGCGACTTAAATAAAGTATAAAAAAATTAAGGGCAAAAAAAAATACTTTAAATCTAAAATGAGAACAACATATTAAAACCAAATTTCTAAAAAAAAGAGCGATAAAAAATTGGCTAGCAACTTTTTGAAGGTTTTAAAGATGTTTCGAAAAAATATGATAAGTGAGTGTTAGATTAACAATATATGTTAAGTTGACAATTAAAATGAACATTATATTACAATAATAGGAAAAAATCCGAATCTAAATACAAATTATAAAAGAAAATTATTAATAAAGAGAAGTTTTTTTTTAATTTTTCGAAATTATATGTAATAAAAAGTGAAAAAATAAAATATATACAAGAAAAAAAGTATTAGTGAAGATAATATATAATAGGACAGCTAAAATATATACAAGAATAATTAACTTATAGTCTCGTCACATCACAGAATTTGATCTTTACCTATTGATTGTAATTAATAGAGGGAGCATTAGGTGGTAAAATATTGATATCGGAAACCAACCCGGGAAAGAAAAAAAGGGATGGATCAGACTGAAAGAGGTCACTATTTTCAGTAAATGCAAAAGAAGGTATATTGGAAAAATCCAACAAGTCGGTACACGATGGCTCTTGAATCAATACCGAATTATTTTGTGCATCAATAACTGTTTTCTGGGTGTCCTTTATAACTCTCTGAGGGCGGGAAGTATGAGTTTTTTCCTTGTTCATTCTTCCACGTTTAACCCTGTTCGTGGTGCTATAAGGGGTATATTGGATGAAAGGCATGTGTTTCTTCTTGAATTCCTCTTTCAGTTTCTTTTCCAATGTAGTAAAAGAATTCTTTAGATGCTGGTCTGAATTCTTCCATGCACTTCCAGCGTACGATGATATATCGCTATTATTAAGCAATCTTTGAGCATGTCTTTGAAATTCGCTTCTGAATAAAAGAAACGCATTTCCCGTGCGGGTTTGATTCTTGCTGCAACTAGCTACTAGATCTTTGGTTTGAGGAAGAGGGAACTCGATGGTAATGTCAGGTTGATTATCTATGGTTACAATAATAAAAATTCCGTTGTTTCGTTGTGTAAGCGAGGCTCTTGCGATGGGTAACGAAAGATTAGGAGAAAGGTTATTGTTAAAAATGGGCGTAAAAACAGTATTCTGTTGAAGTTGGTCGGATTCTTCAACAAAATAAGGTTGGGAATAATCTAACATATTACCAACGCAGTCAGTCTATTAAGGAAAATATCTATATAAAAGAAAGTTTTCTATATTACTATTATCGTAGCTATGTTTGATAATTATGGAGCGAGTGTTTGAATTGTAAATTATATTTCTATTAGAAATTTTCTTGGACGACGCTGACAAAAATTCATTCTTCGTCAAGATTTTATGTTTTTAAGCTCGGAGAATAAATTCCGTGGTATGACATGTAAATATTTAACATTAACATGGATTTAATATTTTCAATGAAATGCCGATATGTTATAAGTTAAGGATTTGTGGCCCAACATAACGTTACTTTCCCAAAATTGAACACAGAAACTAATTTAAAAGAAAATTTTATCTTTTATATATACATATATATATATATACGCATGTATATACTATCATACATTGTTTCGGTTCGAAGTTTTTTTTGTGTTTGTGCTTTATTCTCCTGAGTGTTACATGTCACCAAGTGCGGAGTTTAACTCCGTTTAATATGCCATTATTGATCTTTGTACATGTACATGAGTAACAACACACAGCTAAATATTTCATTGTCTGATTTCCCATTTTTTATTTTTGCATGTAATGTAATAAAAAATAGACTCAGATGTACTTGCATAATTATTTTTTTTTAATGTATAGATTCACGATATATGAAATTATCGACGAAAAAAATCAATATTTTATTTTCGAATATAATTCTAAAGTATAGTCTTTGGCACGTATAAACTCCAAAAGTGAAATACAAAATCAAAAATCTGTCAGTTCATACACTTGCCACAAATCTCTTAAATGAAGATAATTTGAAATTTGTAAGCATTTTTAATTTTGATGAAAAATTGCACAACTGCCCAAATGACAATATTGTTGTTTGTTAGATCTTTTCATTATTTATTTAAAATTAGTTTACAATCAAGTTTTTCTTGATTAGGAGCAAGCAAAAACTTGATCAAATCAGGATTTTTTAAAAAAAAATGCGTGACCAAAAAATAGAAAATTACCCCAATCTGTTAAAAATATAAATATACTTGTGATAAATTTAGAAAATAAAATTTAAACCTAAAACATTTTGCTTGAAACTACTTCTAAAGGAAACATATACGCTTTATTCATAAAACGTTTTTCTAAAATATTCTGATTCGGAATTAATATTGGTTGCATAAAATATTTGTTGGGGGAAATTTAACTTGTGACATGTTTGCCAAGAAATTTATGCCGTAATTAATTATGACTTTTAGTCATTCGCCTAAACTCTCATGTGGTCTTACGATAGTAAATCACGTGACAAAAACAAGTTTTCAAGCCTGCTTATGTATTCGCGAATTGGACATAATAAGTAAATCTATCGAAGCAACAGAGTCAAGTGATGATGATGGCTTGGCAATGTACTACATTTATATAGCGAATAAATGATTTCTAATAAGAATTACATGAACCAAGAAGTTCGATTTAGTTTTTGACTAGTGCTTTTTGGGGACGTGATATCATAATGAACTGAGATTTATCATTACAACAGAAATGTGAATGCAAGTAAAAACGGAATAACATATTTTGTCTTTGTTTTTGATGCAAGGAACTATTTTTATTTGGATCTATTGAATGATTGATCTGTTTGGTATGTTCTGATGCTGGTACTGAAATGATTTTCTGGGAACGAAAGTAACATGGTTCTGGAGGGAAATTAAAATCCATTTTTGAATATGTTTCTGTATAAAATAAAGGAATTTATGGTGCTTAAATAAGATTCTTGGCAGAATCAAATAAATTTTTCTTGATGATGGATAGACCATTCATTTGATGATAAGTTTTTTAATATATCATATTGGCGTATGATAATAATATTAACACATAGAGAAATTGCCTTAGACTTCTTAAACATAATAAAGCTAATTTAATTCGATTTTACCGAATTTAAGAACTTTAGTTTAAAATTCTATGCTTTAAATAATCTACGATAACATAAAGCATAACTCTCAATCTCGTGCTATTTTCCATTCCGATCTTAATCTTGTATTCTCCCAAATGCCCAATTTTAATTATTTAATTAATTGTGTTTAATTGAGAAATTGTCAGCCAAAGTTGAAACGTTCGAGCTGGCACGTAGTGCTTTACTAGTAAATTCGATGTATAAGACATTTTTTACATGTCGTAAAGAACTTCACCATATGTACGAGAAATCTTTGTGACATAATGATTAAGATTTGGATTATATGACAACAAAAAATTTAAACAAAAAGCAATTTTTTGTAAAACTTTTGACATAAGAAAAAGACGAATTCATATAAAAAATATCATTAACAAAATGGCTTCTGATGACCTTGAGTAATCTGAAATTGAAAGAGGAAGTTTACCATAATGATAATTTTCATTCGGAAATAAACTAGAATTACACGAATCGTAGATACTTAACTTAAAATCAATAAATTTTAGGGGCGGGACATAACCCGTTTGGGAAGCAACTTGATTGGTCATTTGTAATTTTTTGAGGTAAACCAATCAAATCGCAAGATCAAAGTGTAACGGAAAATTCAAAATACATGTAAACTTTCTGTGCTCTAATAAAAATGTTTTTGCGAAATTTTAACTATAATGTCACGTCCAAGTATCTCATACAAAAAATATATATACTATGTTCCAAAAAATTTGGTGATGTATTTAAAAACCAGTGAACTACATTCACGTTGTGCACATTAATTTCAGACACTACTCACATCGGATAAGGAAAAATAGTTTCACCATAGTTTATAGCGAGAGAACAATACACACCTACAATATACAAATCAACCTCCCTATAACGACACTTTTTATAACGGAGTTCTCTCTATAACGACCAAATGATCCATATATTACTACCTCTATATAATGACATTCTCTTTATAAGGACAAAATTAACCTCGTTCTAAAGGGGTTTGACTTGTATTACTGGAGATTCCAAAACGATATCTCAAAATCCAGTTATCCGATCTAATAAAAACCAGATCTTGTGATTTAGATCTGCCACCGACCTGACACCAATCCATCCGGTATTCCCTTTATTCTTTTAGTGGTTCAGTTAGAATTACTGTATAATTATAATTAGAATTAGGATTATTTGATTATGAGTGTATATAAATTTCGCAAGGAACCTTTTCCTTAGTAGAATATAAAAAGACAATTTCATAGAATATTTCGAAGGGGATATCGGATGGATATTGTCAGATCGGAGACAAATCAAAATCTCATGATTGCATCTTTTTGCCATCTAGAAGTCTACGGGCAGTTCTTCGGAACGGATTTTATAAACGTTCATAAGCCCGAAAGATCGAAATCCAGAATGAACAACATCCCAAAAGAACGAAATCTCGAATAAACGAAATCTGAATGAACGTACATTGAAATCCCGGAAGTATAGTACATGGGTCACAAAATGCATGAAATATCACAGGATGTCATTCGGGGTTTAGTTCTTCGGGATGCCGTTCTTTCGAATTTCGACCGTTACCGCTTCGGAACAGTGTTTAGTCAAGTAATTTTTCCGGGACTGTGCGTATTTTTGCCAAAGAAACTACTTGCTAGGATGATCTATGCGATATAACCTTAACCGTGACTTTAACCCTCATCATAATTGAAATACTATTAATATTTTTTTTATATCACAAAATGCACGTTCACTCTGTCAATCCACCAATTATAAATCTATCCGGCACTGGTTCGGAAAGATCACATGATTCAAAATTGTTCGTAGACTATTATGGGAGAATCTACGGACGCGTACGTGACATTGCACGTAAGGATGGGTACACGTGACCGGCTCCGGATTTTTAATATTTGTAATGCAATCAATGATGATATATGTAATCACGATGATATATTATTGAATACGTGTTATTTTTTCAACTTGCTCTTTGTCTTCTATGAAAAGTAGTTAAGTTATATAAGCCCGATCACATATGCTCGAAAATAAAATCTGCTCTTTTCCTGAACACATGTATTTCACAGACTAAGAATTTTTGATCAACTCGACAAAACAAGTCCGGTGCAAGAAAATGAAAACATATATCAAAGTTTTGCTTGTAACACTATTAAAAAACGTCGAGAAGAAAATTATACATATAGTCTTCCCTCCAGTTCTAACTATAGCTCTAACCCTAATGACAAACTCACCTTTTAATAGTTGCCACCTCACATATGATTTGCACGCACACACAATGCCACGTGCACCCATCCGAAACGTGTAATGTCACATGTTTAGTACGTGTCCGTAAATTCTCCCTATAATTTTTATAAACATTCTCGTGATATAATAGTAAGCAGGCTGAGAAAAAAAAGTAGTATTAATTTTCATATAGACGGTCGTAAAGAACTCGCGGGCTGTAACTTATGGCAATTATTTCTTATACACTTAACTATATCTTTAAGTTGAAAAAGTTGTTTATTTTAGATCTACTTTATCTTATAGTACAATATTATTATATCGAATGCAGTTTCTTAGATGATGTGAATTATGATGATTTTTTATTTGATTTCGGTGTTCATGCAGAAAAATTTTGATGATTTGGCAAAGTTTAAGTGGTTAATGCTATAATTCAATGAATGCTAATAATAAAATTTTGAGTAATGTTAAATTTTTAATCAAAAGGTTAGTTTAAAAGAATTACTTCTATTTTGATGTTAAACCTCAAAGAGAAAATATAGTTTGTTTGGTAAAATTTTGTTTTCAAAATACTTTGGTTTTAATAAACAAATTTATCAGCAATCTCAGCTTTCTTATACATACTTTTTATGTTATGAACTGCGTGTTGATTCAGAACAACTTGAGTTTATTCAAAATTGTATATTAAATGAATTATCAATATGAAGTATATTAAAAATGATTTATTAATTAATATAAAATTTAGGAATTTTAGGTAAATTTTTAAAAGAATATATTATGTTCTAAATAAAATTATAATCCTTATAATAGGTATAATACAATTTATATTGAAAAAATTAGAATCAACCAACCTATAGATTGCTCCAGAATCAACACAAATTCCATTCCAACTCATGACATAAGTTTATTACGAAGAAGACCGATTCTCAAATATTATAAGAGAGTATATTGACATCTCGAAAAGATAAATACTGTTACAAAGTTAAGCTTTCCGATCAATTTATTACTTATATCAAATTAAGATTTATAATAAAGAACAGTTTTGTTGGAGCAATTTTTAATACAGTATATAAAGTTTCTCTATATAAAAATAATAAAGAACGAAATTTGCTGGCACCAACCTGTTCTTACTGTAACGATACGTTTATCACTAAGTAATGCGTCAAAGCAAAATATATATTGATCTGTTCGATCGTTAAGCCAATTACGCCTAACACTATAATCCTCAAAATCCTTAATAGATGTACACACCTGCATATGCACGTACCATTTTCACAGGCTAATACAAAATGCATGAAATCATGTGTATGTTGTATAAACTGTCGCTATAGATGGATAAAACGTTATATACCGCAGCATACGTATCTATGTAAAAAATTTTCTTCGTTATCGATTTTATCATTATTGTTTGTCTTAGTGACGAAAACAAACGGAGAGACAATAGTAGAGTGAAAGTCTTTGTGATCAGATATTCGCAGAAATAATATACTATAGATCGAAAAGAGTATGTGCACGTATAAGATTAACTATTAACTACCTTAAATAATTAAACAAGAAAGTTCTGAAAGAAAAAAAATATCATGCACAACGCGCAAACATTCTCTCATTCATGTATTACAAATATCTCACAATGGTTCAATTATGATCTCGAACAAGAGGATTTCCCTTATCTGATTAAATCTATCGGAGAGAGTTTATCAAAAACAATTTTCTTTAACATAATCTGATCTTATTTAGCTTTCTTCTCCGTACTTGCATTGAACTGAATATGCGCGAAACATTTTTCCTTGTTGCATTGTATAATAATAAAACTCAATTTTAAATTAAAAAACAAAAACACGAACGCTTTCTATTATTTTTTTCATTTCTTTATTCATTCTGGCTGACATCATAATGCAGAACCCGATTACTAGTTAATTTCTCACTTTAATGATAAGATAAATCTTCTCTTTTTCTATATAAGACTATTAATAGCTTGATTTACCCAACCATTCATTAAATCGAGGTTGTACTTGTGTATACAGTCAAACCTCGACAAATATCCCTATATCGAGAATTTATATAAAATCGGTATATATAATTTACTTAATTTTTATATTGTTATACATAGAGATTGGAATTGGATCCATTTTATTATCTAAACCAGGATTTACAATAGAATGGGTTTGATTTCTAGTTATACGTAATGAAATATTTTTGTTGCATTTTTTTTTACTCGTTTATCATGTCACGCATAATAAAAATTTATATTATTAAAAATATGAAACAAGTTTATATAAGATCGTATTTTAATATACATGTATTATTATTATTATTATTTATACATGATAAAGTACTTATCCTACGTTGAAAAAGTTTACAAAAAATTTAGCTGAACATAGTCCCAGTTTCCTAATCATATGATACAGATCACCCGGAAATCTAAAGGAAAACAAGATGTGACTGATCACCTTTTCTAAGATTACACAAGAGTGAGTCTTGCAATCAATGCGCTGAAGAAAGATTGTAGTTTAGAGAGTTTTTCGGTGAGTATCTTATCTTATGATTCATAATTATATATTTAAAGTTATATAAAAGTCATTGAATACATATAGATCCCCGTACCCATGTACAACATAAAAATATATACAAAGATACTCTTGATATAACGACCGACCCTTCGATATAACGAAGTCTAATTAAAATCGCGATATAATGAACTTGAGTTCAGGAACAATTTATATTATAAACCATATAATAATTCCGCTCGATATAATGTATAATGAAGTTTTACATATAGACCCCGACTACTTCGTTATATCAAGAGTGGCTTTGTACATGTATTTTGTTTTAAATTTGTAAATTGAATTATTAATAAAAATACTACAATTCCAAAAGAAATTTTGATCAAAACTATATAAAAATTCGAGAGATTCATTAACTTCAAAATTTATAAGAATTAAGTTTTTCAAAAAAAATGAATCTCAAATAAAAAACCAGAATTCGATGTAAAAATTTGGCTGATTTTTTCCACAAAGGGTATGGAGTCGTTGATGCTATTTTTATGAATAGGAAAAAAACGATATATGTACCGATATATCAATATGACAAATTTGACAAATAAATGAATTTGGGATTTTTAAAATTAATACTAGTGTTGAGTTAGTAATAGCTTTGCTAATGCTAACGCTAACGATAACCAGTAAATTAAATGTAAATCGTCATACATTTATGTACTTATCATTGCTAAATACATGTAGAATACCATTAAAGGTTTTCATTTTGATCATTTACAGGTACATGTAGTTTGTTGGGTAATCTAAGTTTGGTATATTTAAATGTCTTGTGCAAGTTTGACTTTCTTAAGAGAAACTTTTTCCAGCTGTATCGATTTATACCTATCACCACGAAAAATTTTATCAAAGGTCAATAATGAAATTTTGGGTTATGATTCAACGCCCTAAAAAAGGTAAACACTAGTAAAATTTAATGTTATTTTTAGATGTTGAATGAGTAAAAACTTAATTTTTCCAATTCAGAAACTTCGTTCTTAAAAATAAAAACCATTTAATAATCACAAATAAAAATAGGATAACGATATTGTGAACTTTCTGATTCTTTGAGCATTAATGATTTATATATAAATCCTTTTTTTCATGTTAAAAACAATGAGTTCATCACTCAATAATACAGTAATTAGCTTAATCGTTTCTGACCCAAAAATCGACTTCCTCTTCAATGCTTAAAAAGAAAAATAAGTAATCATGTAAAGACAAGTCTCAAACGCCTCACCGTTAACTTATTGACGAACCCGATTCGAACAAGCGAAAAATCATTTCCCATTTTGGCAATATCCTCATGCGATGATGCATGATTGCATTCCGCTGATGGAAAAATTTCTGCAAGAATCAAATGAGCAGACAGACGAATAATACACGCATGAGACTTGCAGTACAAATTTTCGCGTGTGTGTATGTATGTGTGTAATTCTTTAGCTATTTATAGACAATAATAGAATGAAAATTTTTAAGGGCATGCCAATGCTTTACAATAGAGCCCAAAATTATGCAAGTAGTGGGAACTGAAGAAGATAAGTTAAAAGATTATTCACGTGAATTGATAATACTGTTCGACCGAAAAATTTACAAAACTGTCTTTGAAGTTGCCGATCTTCATAAAATGTCACGCATGCGGATTAAATTGATTCGGATTCTTTTTGAATTCAATTCTTACAAAAATACAGTAGATCTGATGTCAATAAACATCATCGAATTAAAACATATTTTATTCATATTCATAACTATTGATACATAAAACGAAATGTCCGCAAAATACTGAATTCGATTTTCTATTACAAATCTATAAATTTATAAATAGAATTTGTATTCAAAACTTAAAATGTAATTAATCACATCCATTCTTGCAGTACTCGAGAACAAAGATTCTAGAAAATCGAGTAAAAGAAGAATTGGTCAAAAAGATTTTACTCATTTACGCACGTTAATCAAAATACAGCCAAACAGATTTATTAAAAGTGAAGCCACCGCGATTTTTAAACATTTAACTACAACCGATTGGTGTATGTTTGGACAAAAAAGATTCACTAATAAAGAAAGGTGACACATGTAAATACGCCATGTAAGGTAGTGTCTCACGCACATTATAACCCTGGATCAACCAAATCAATGGAGATCCGATAAGTTGATTTAAGATATTAGATGCATGAAAAAGAGCAGATGTAATTTGAAAAATGAGAAGAAAAAATGCGTTTATTGAAAGAACAAAGAACATTGAGCAAAGAGAAGGGCTTAACTTGCAAACATACGAAAACAAAAGATTTAATTAATTCGAAAGTTCTAATTATTATGCAGAACGGCGTTTTTTTTATAACAAGAAATTTCAAATTAAAAAAATAAACATTTTTACTTGAATGGATAGGCGAATAGCACCATCCCTGATCAAAAATAGTTAAGTAGTTTTTTCTATCAATCTCCTTACACCTTATCATTCAAAGCAATTATTATTATCATTTGAATAAACCTGAAATGGAATGTATAATATTTAAAGATTTATCATCGTAATTATCTTTTATAAAAAAAACTTTCGATTTCAATCACACGGGAAACTGAAAAACGTGTAAGTAAACTTGTTATATATGCGCTCAACTAACTGCTGACTAGCCGCTAAAATTTTACTTTTTGAATCTGCATAATAATTAATTAAACATTCGGTTACTTTGTTCTTCTTATTAAGAAAAGTTTTATGACCTTTTGATTTTATTTGTTTCAAGATGATTATAAATCATAGAAATGTGCGTGTGGTTATTGATTTACAATTATTTCCGAATATAATGATTATACAGTTGTGTAATTTGAACATATATTTTACCTCTTGTCGTTAAATTTAAGATGTTAACTTGTTAGAATCTTGCTGGCGGATATCACAACTATGACGATTGATAATGGACGAATCAAAGTTTTTTAAATCTCAACTTTAAACTTCGGTACAATGGAATACTCTAATTTCAATATGCGCCAAAGTGTAGTGGTTTTTATTAGACGAATTACTGCGATGGCCAAATGAATGCTAATTAAAACGCCGTTTCTTAGGAAATTTTCGGCGATTTTTCTCTCTAAATATATTGGCTATATACATCGAGAACATAAAAGAATAAGAGTACAGATTATTTTATTCAGCTCTTTAAAAAAATTCTTGCCACATTATTAAGTATTAATATATTTGAACTAAATTAAAAGAATTAACAATAATTTTGATTATATATATACATTGGATTTTAATTACATGTAATAGTATATCCAATCTAATTACGTATAACAATTAATTAATAATATCTATATCCAACTTAATTGGTCAAACACCTCCCAGAGCTTACTCGCTTTATTCACATCAATGCGCAGTAATTTCTGTGCATCACTTTTGCGAAAAGGAAGCGAACGGCTCTTGTATCGTCTTGAAGATGATATTAAGGTGTATTTTGCATTTAAGAATTGAATGGGCGTTAATCGGAATGTTGAAGCTATGTATGACTCATTCGGATGTAATGCTTCATAATGTGGGAGGTGTTCTATTGATAACGGATCTCCTTTCCACGCGATTTTAGGTCGACTACTTAATACATTGTTATCCAGTCCTAAATTATCCAATTCAACTATCAATTGCGAAAATTCAATCTGTGGCTGTGGTGGCAGCCGAACAGATTTTTTCTCTCCATTGGTCGATGCTGGCGCTTCGAATGAACTAAATGGCGAGTCAATTAATCCTTGATCAGCCAACACTCGAGCCAAGGAATTGGCTTTTCGTCGGTTTTCTCTTGGTGCGGTGTGTGAAGATCGTTTATTTTTTGGCTTATGAGAACGTGTTCGTTTTGGTCCAATCCTTGGACTGTTTTGCAATGATTCTGACGAAGAGAATGATAATGTATCGTACACAATTTTCGGCTTCTCAACATTAGCTTGAAGTAACTTTTGCGGATCTTGACTAAATATTGAAAATACGTCAACAATTAGACTTAAACCATCTGACGATTTGTTTGGGGATCGCATTGGATAAGGATTCTTTCTCGAACGATGATATGTTTGAGTCGGCATTTTATGGTTATCAACAATCACGTGATTAGAAGTTGTGGATGGTTTTACACCGGATGTGGCTGGAGAAGTGTAGACGGACGGTAAATGTAAACCATATTCCGAAATATTTAATTCCGCCAACAATTCGGGTGTTGCTTCTTCAAAAGTGAATCGAGATTTACTTTTTCGCGCTTTGTTTGGCGGACGCTCTGGTTGAACTAAATTCGTATCCGATAAATTATTATTGGTTCCTGAACTACTTGGACTAATGGGAGTCACATCTTCCATAGTATAATCGTCGGAAGGAAAAGTTGTTGAATCTTGGTTTTCTCCATTAATACAAGGGGTCGGACTTTGATGAATTTTAGAAGTGGGGGATATCGGTGGAGTAAATAACGAATCCGATGAATTAACTTCTTGTTGTATAATGATTAATTTTTCGACCTTTGGTAAAGGTGAACTATTTTCAATACGATTGTTATTGTTGCTGGTATTGTTGCCATCATTCGGAGTCCATTGATTGTGTTTTGATAATAAGTATTCGGTGTGTTTCTCGTGAAATTGGGTGGATTGCTCCATTTGTTGATTTAATTTTTATGTTTCTTTTGTGAAAAACAAGAATGACGACGTCAAAAAGAAGAGAAAAGAAAATTTTTCTTTAATAAAGACGACAAATTTTTCGATACAACGTTTTCTGGATTGATTAATTGATTTATGACGAAGCGATGACGAGAAAAAAAAGATTTAATTATTTTTCGGTCGCTTGTAAATTTTCTAGTAAAAAAACACCAAAAAAATAAAAGACGAGCAAAGAAAAACAAGTGTAATTTGAAGTGTATGATGATAAGCAATTAAAAAAATGCTGTGATATTTATTTATACAGATACTCTTTCACTCAGGGGCCTTTTTATTTATGAGACGATTCAAATTTCAGGATTCAGTAATTACAAAGACTAAAAAAATTTGTTAATAATAATTTTAAGAGAAAGTTATCAACTAACAATCTTTATATGCGATAAAATAAAAGATGACAAAACAGAGAGTGTATTGAGAAGAGAATGAGTTTTTTGTTGTCAAGTACAAAAAACTCGCTATTTAATAAAATGATTGGCGTCCATTTAATAATTAGTATATAAATATAGTATTAATTATTATCAGTCAGGTAGTAATACAATAAAGCAAAAAAAATATATTATCAAAAAAACAAATCAGAAATATACCTAATAAAATGTTATGTGTCACGTAAATAAAAATGAATGGACTTATTATTTTAGTTTATTAGGAACACACGCAAACACATATATGCATTCATTTCAATTCATCTGCGGACCACAAAAAAACATTATATAATTTCGTTTCGCTTCGTTTTCACTTATTTGCTCTCTTTGATATCGCCAATCGTAAGAAAACTCGGAGAATAGTATCAAGAGAGTGATTTGTAAATTATGCTCCAATTCGCGAACAAAAAATATCGGTCAATCGATCCCATAATTGTTCTAATTATTTTTTGACATCTCCCATACAAATGGGTCATCTAATTCGAATTTGTTCATCAAAAATTATTCACGCTTGAACCGATTTAAAACTTTATAATCTTTTTGATTTTTATATATCGGTCTTTTAACAGAGTAAAAAGAGAAAAAATCCCTTGAATGATGAATGCTAAGGTTATCATTGAACCATGTACGCGTATAAATAAATTTAGAAGAGATCGCATAGAATTCAATCATAGAGACTATGAAACAGTCTGGAGAATGGAAGCAGACGAAGAAAAGAGAAGAAAATAAATCAGGAACATGCAAGTTTATTGTTTGGTAGGCATTTATGTGCATACGTTGTATACCTACATAAATATATATATATACATATGTATAATGCATTCGTACAATATGCATTAACATTAAAAATACATTTTCTTTGATGGTTAAGTGTGTGGTTTTTTAATGGACTAAAACAGTAACAGCATTATAATAGCCATTTAGCTGTACATTTAGTTTAGAGTTAATTTCTCGGATGGTGTGGGTGTATGTTCTGTTCTACAGAATGAGAGCAAATCAAAATTTTACAATGTGTCATGGAATTTGAACGAACAAATTTCTGCTTTATGCCTCCTTCCTTTCAAAAAATTTCTTGCGATAAGTTCCGTCAAAAGTGTCACTTAATTGTCAATTCATAATTTGTTCATAATCTTAATATATCGATAATTATTACCATGCATCCACCCGAAATTATTTTGTCATACACCAGATTTTAATTGAATTTAATAAGGGGGGAGAACTAAATTCTTATTTGTTATTGTGCGTGGTAAAAAATTACTATTTTCCATCCATTTTATTTACGCATTAATCGAGTGAAATAAACAAAACAGCTACTTTTGGTTCATGTTTGAGATTTTATGGTGTAGCTTGAATGGTTGGCTGAATTGAATGAATGAATTATTATGATTACGTTTTGCACTTTAAATCTTTTTTTGCTGCTGTCAAAAGTCTCTGACGATGATATTAAAAAAAAAGAAAAATACGAAATTTATAAAAAATAAGATTTGAAGATCTAGTATCTGGTATCTTTTGGGAAAAAAAAAAACTTAAGCAAAACATGCATTTTCAAAATTGAAGACGAACTAGCATTAATAGGTCGATGTCTGTTTTCCAAAACACAGCCCGACAAGCCATTATTATCACCTATTTATTAAATTAACACGTCTCACCTTCGTTTCACTGTTTGAGAACATTATCTACGTTTACTAACACAAAGTATCGAATGTTCGCGTATTAATAATAAAAATAATGATTAATAAAGACAGAATTTTCTATGCTTGGCGATTATAAGAAATTTAATTTAAAAAAAAAAGATCTTTTCTGAACTATGTTTTTGGTCATTATCGCCAAGCTCTCTTTTTTGCAATATTTACTCTTTTTTCTTGAGAAAAAAACATGCCTCTCTTAATAAACATTAGCGAAAAGATCATCAATCAAATTTTGACCGCATTAAACAAATATGCACGGAAAAAACGTGGAACGAGGATTTGTTTCCGAAAATAATGTTTGTGGGTGTTTTCACCAGTGTGGATGGTTATCATTTTATCCTAATCCGTCTTGTCGCACATTTGCTATATACGGAGAATTTTGGATGTTAAAAAGTGCTTCCTAAAGAATTCATTACCGTCTTTCACTGCATAAAGTCCCCGGCCCTTTATAGAAAATTCGGATCTGAATTTAATCTCAACGAATTGACACTATGGTGGTGTGGAGATAATTTTATTCATTTGCAGAAAATAAATTGGCCTCACTAAAGAAAGTTCGTACCACGTAAAGGGCTACTCTTATACAGTATTCAACGTAGAACCTTGAAAATTATATCTATATTTTATTACGACCGGTAATAGTTTCTTCAAAGTCCTATCCTATTTGATCTATATGAATGATCATTTAGATGCCACAAGGTTTTTTATTGCGTACTACTCCTTTCCTTAAAGCATATAAAGAGAGCAGTTTAAATGTCAAAATTAAAAAAAAATATATCATTGAATGACCAAAACCATCATTATGATTACGCGAAATATATAGTCAACTTGCCCCATTATTAACATTTTCTGCTCCTTGTTTTTGATACGATATTTGTTCGGGAGTTACTACGTAATTAGAATTATGACAATGAAAAAAAAAATGGTGCATGATGCATCATGCACATATAATTCCAACTTATTTGTTTACGTGATTACACAATTATATTAAATCCCTATTATTGTTAAGGTATGACTGTGTGAGTGCCCTGCTATTCTTCTCTATGATGTTTTTCATCTAAATCTCCGTTTAGTTTAGTTTAATGATTATCATTTATTCATTCTGATCAGGGTGGGTGAGATTTTGATAATGAGTTAACGATTAAGCAAAGAGTAACACGGACGGTAAATTTTCGGTTTGAATTCATGCATATTTATATAGGTAACTAATACTGAAATGCCGTCAGCGATTGAAAATGTGCATGAATATTTTTGAACTACCAGTTTAGATCATGACGTTTTTTCGATCGTTATCGCCTATGATATTTTATTTCCAACGAACGAAATCGTTCTAGCACGAGAATTTGAATTTAAATTTTGCGCATTTTTCTCTCTTCAGTCTTTTTCATTCTTCTGTCTTGCCGTGTGTAATTGAATCCGGACGATTTTTCTTGTATCATAAAATTCATCGTTCGGAATCTCGAATAGAATGACAAAAGAATTCATATCGATATTGAATTTCAACAGTTAAATTGTGTAATGTTACGACCAACTAATACTAGATAAAAATTTCGCGTTTTTTTTTAATTATCGCAATTTAAAAAAAACGCCTCCCTATAATGATAATAATGATGATGCAAAGACCCCAAAAAAGATTATTTTCTGATAAAAGAGCCAAGCCAAGCCAAAAATCGTTAGCGTTAGTTATTTCATGCCAATCGTCATTCGTACAGAAAATACGCAAGGTCATATGATTTTGGAATCAATGTACATGCAACCACATGCAATTTGATTCGGGAGAACAAGGATCGAAGTTTCTGAAATATTACTCTATGGGCAACTCCATTGTATAGAATTCAAATACAACTATGAATTACGACTATTACGACTACTCAGTTTATTACCACCATATGACAATTTGTTTATAAGGAGTTTTTAAATAGAAATTCGAGGAAAGAACAATGAGAATTACTATAATTTCATTACAAGATCGTATTATGGAGCCATTCGTTAATTAAACTAGAATTAGTGCGAATACAATCTAGGATAAGGCGTAAAATAAATAAAGTTGCCCCCGTGTGATAATATCCCGTGTTTTTGAATTCGTTCGTTATTTATTAATCAATTATCAAAAATTTCAAATTAACGGAATTATCGATAAGTTGATTATTTTCGAACCTCATAATCCCGCAAATTATCCTTCAACGAAATTTTTATCATTCAATGTCCATCATCGCTCATTCATTGACGTCTTGCACCATCGATAATAATTCACCGTCTTTTTTAAGATTCTATAACGGCGGTGATGCATAAAAATTTTCCGATCGGTGACGAATAAAAATTTGCTTACAAATTTTGTTGGTCAGCAAAAAAAGTTACGCCTTGTTTTCGGTGTGTTTATTTTTCCCTTTTCCTTTTCTAAGTAAATAATTTGTCGCAAAAGAAAAAAAATCAGGAGATCACTAATGTTTAAATTAGTTTTGGGATAAACCGAATTAAGTACATCTTTATTTACTACACAGTAAAGTTCAAGAGAAAAAATACTCATTTAAACCAGTTATTCAATAGATTTTTCTTTGGAATCGGGGACGTCGGATAGCTGAACTTTATTGTGCATACAGCAAAAATAAATGCATTTTATTTGTTGTGAAAGAGTGAATTCAAACTATTTATTATTCGATTGACAATGATATCATGTGGCTATGGATGGATACAAAATGGCATTTTTGTGGCTAAATTCATGTTCAAAAATGGCATTATGGCAAAATGTTGCGTCTGAATGGACAAAGAAAAAAAATATTTACGCTATTGAGTGATGCAGAGGAAAAAGTATCTGTATTCAAGATTGATATTTACATCTATATTTTGATTCAAAAAAGAAAAAAAAGGAAAAAAAATTTTTTAAAATAAAAAAATTCCCAATACTATTATTATTTACATTTTTTTATCTAGTTGTGCTTAAGATAGTGTGTACACGATGCAGTTAAAGCCAATTTAATTGATGGAAAAATTCCCACAATTTGCTCGCCTTATTTACATCTATTCGTAGAATTTTTTGTGCATCGCTTTTTCTAAATGGTAAGGCGCGTCCTTCATATCGACGCGATGCTGTTATTAATGAATGCTTTGCGTTGAAGTATTGGACGGGTGTTAAACGTAATATAGATGCGACGTATGCTTCCGTTGGATGTAATTCATTAAAATGCGCGAGATGTTCGATCGAGAGTGGCCCAGTTTTCCATGTCATTACAGGTCGAATATTTAGACCACGATTATCCAATGATAAATCCTTAAGTTCATTAAGAAGTTTTGAGAATTCCATTTGGGGGGCGAGCGGCAGGCGTAATGGCTTAACTTCGCCATTTACCTCTAACGTTGATCCCAACTGGACAAATGGCGATTCTATTATACCGGAATCCGCCAAGACTCGTGCCAACGAATTACCTTTACGACGTCGTTGCTTGACTTTCATGACACCCCCTTCGCGTTTTGATCGTGGTGGTTTAATATTTTGTTGTTTCTTTTTGGGTTCCAGTCTTGGACTGGCAGGCTCCGATGATTCTGTCGAGGAAAGTGAAGAGAGATTTGCTTCATAGTCGTTGTAGGTTTTGGGTTGTTCTGTTGACATTGGTAACGTTGTGGTTGTTGATGTTGTGTTGAAGGTTCCTATTGTTGATGTGGTGGTTATTGCTGTATTTGGATTTTCAAGTGGGGGTGGTTTCAATTTAAATGTATTTAATTTGAAGGTAATCGCCTCTGAACTCTGTGATGAACGCATTGGATAAGGATTTTTGCGTGAATGAATGCGATCTTTGTGATTATTTTGTGAAGTTTGTGAAATTTGTGGTGATTGTGTATCATTATTAAGGATTGATGAAATCGCCATAATAGTAGAGGATTTGAATCTTTCAACACTTATTTGTTCCAATACTTCTTTGGGAGCTTCAGCTAGAGTAAATCGATATCTGGGTTTAGGTTTCTGGATTCTTGGTGTGGGATATTTATTGGATTTTGTGATTTCTTTGGATTTTTTAACAGTCGCATCAGTAGCACCAAGTAATAAACTCATCATTGCTGTCGAAGCTTCTTCGTTTTTACGCGAAGCGAAATACTTCTCATTAGGTATTGAATTATCTTCTGGCATATTGGTTATCTTTGAGTCGAGGCTCAAAGTTCGATCTCGTCGCGTGGAGGATAAAGATGAATGGTCCTCCGGAGCTCGAGGAAATTTTGAATATAAAGATGAAATTCTAGAGTATGAGTTGAGAGAATTTTTCTTATGAACTCTTGATTGGCGAGGATAATTTCGAACGGGTAATAACGTGGTGATTGATGTTTCGCTCATTATTATTGATATTTATAAAAATTTCTATAAATAGATAAAAATAATGATGTATTATTTTAGAAAAATTGTTAAAAAAATATGGATATTAAGAATTTTTATTCTTTTAAGAATTTTTCTCACCAGTGAAGTGGAAACTAATGCGTATTTATATATGTATATACGCTATAATGGTTAAAATAATAATCCGAAACCGGTACACTGTTATATTGCCAATATCGATAAGATGATCACTTGAAACAAAAGATTGTGCGACTTTCTAGAATTCAATCTTTCTCTATTAAAAATGAATGTTATCCAGTAGAGAGGCATGCGGATTTAATATGAGAATTTGAAGGAGATTTGTATATATGGCTTATGCGATAAACAGAGTGGTGTGAGGAATTCTTTTAAGAAAGAATCTATGCATTTTGAATTGAATAAGAAAAAACGCCAATCAACAAATATCATAATTAAGAAACTTTCTGAATCATAAATATCAATTTATTTACGCACATACACACATATATTCAACAACAGTTAATGCATTTGATATTGTGAATGATTGAATGTCACATGGATATTCAGACATATAATCGCTTGATAAGCGCAGACTCGCTTATTTGAATGCATTCACCGTTAACAAATACTCATCGCTTTCACTCTCTTTCTGAGTCCATGTATAGGGTTTCTCTTGCTATAAAGAGCGAAGAGATTCATACAGAAGCATATCGTTTCGTCGCTCAATGGTGATTCTTTTTTTTCAGTTTATCATACTGAGAATTCAACATAAAAGAACCTTGACACCTAACTAATGAATTACTAACTGTATTGTATCTCCTCAATCTTTAAAGTTTGACCATCTTATCTATAGCATAAATAAACCACTAGCCCTTTTCTTTTAATACTATTAAATAAACTCACTTTAGTATGTATAGTCGGGTTAGGAATTTTTCCCTTTTTTGAAATCGTTTTACGAATGCATCGGAAATATTCTGATATAAAAACCGACTATCAGATAATGTATGAGTATATAAAATAAGGTTGTTGAGGTTTAAGAAATTAAGAGCCTTTCGGTTTTTGATAATACAAAAAGAAAGTAGGTTAATTTCGCTCCTGGTTTGAAAGTTCTATTTAATGCATTAAAGTAAATAAAATTTAATATAATACATTTTTTTGCATATAATCAAATCTTTGATATCTTTAATCAGTAACGGTATCTCTTGCTTAATAATTACATGTATATCATTAATAATCCTAATATAAAGGTACATTTATTTAACCCAATGTAACCAATGCTAACAATGAATTCAAAATGAATAAGTGAATATATTCTAGAAAACTAATTATACGCACCTCTTAAATGACCCATCACAGGAGGGGGACAAACAGAACTTTGCCGAAAAGCATCCCATTTTGTTTCCTCTATAGAGAGAATCCCCAGTCCAACTCTACTCGCCCCCAAACTCTTCCTTCTAATCCTCTTTCTGCTCCATCCACCTTCGACACACACATATATCTATCTATTTATATTTATATATATATATATATATATATATATATATATATATATATCTGTATGTGCACATAAATGTCTATTATAAAAAACTTTTTATATACTTTTTTATATGCGTGCGCACAATGATCTCATTCGTTTTTGATACGTGTAAGTTTTACGTTGCAGAATTGGGTGATTGACCTTGTCTCATTTGATTTTTCTTTAAGTAAATATGTATGCCAAGAACATCCGTTCACCGCGAATCGGGAATAAAATCAGATCCGATATATATATATATATATAAAATAATTCAATTGAAACAGAGTAGGAGTATAATATCATATAGGAAATGTAAATTTCTTTGCTCTTGTTGTTTACCTCCTAAAAGACAAGATAAAAAAATGATGACCTGAGTTTCAGATGCATATTATAATCTAATGCATATAACGGCAGGAATGAATCCTCTTTTTAATTTGAAAGAGAATTCGAATTCCTTTTAATTTTAAGATGACAACAATAAATCGCTCATTGACACGATAAAATTATATCATCATAACATCCTCTCGTGAACACGCCACTTCGGATGTTTCTTTTGCAGGTAGGATATGTGGGTATGATACTATCCTTTTTCTCTATCAATTATCAATCACAGTTAGCCATTATCCCATCGAAATGTATGATCTTTCAGTTTGAATGACATTATGGATGCAGAAAAATGCATTTATTTACTTGTTTTTTTATTTGTTTACTTTGTTGCTCTTTTTTATTATTGTTGTTATTGTCGTCGTTGTTATTATACTCATTATTATTATTGTTGTTGTTGTTGTTGTTGCTGTTGTTGTTGCTGTTGTTGTTGTTGTTGCTGTTGTTGTTATAATGATATCACTAAATGTGGATAAAATATAAAATTGGTTTTTAAAGAATTTTCAATTGGATATTACCAATACATTATCGTTATCGATTCTAAAATGGCATTTGAATTGTTCGTATAATCCAATTCAAGTATCACGAATAATTTAAAAGGTATAGTCTGATTAATCAAAAATGTGTGTAGAACGTCAAAATTAGAACATTACAGGCACTAGTGTGGAACTTTGGTGTCGCTGATTTGTTGTTGCTCAACTCATTAATTAATGGATCTCTCGGCAGTTCCGATTTAATAAAATTAGAGTTACAGCATTTTTAACTGTAATCAAGCATCTTTTTTGCCCAATCGGTAAATTTTAGGCAATTTGTAAGACAAAACAAATGCCGGAAAATGCATACATAGTATACATGGTACAAGCGATCCAATTACATGTAACTGGTATGCGGGAGCTTTATATAGCCGAATCGGTTGCTAACATTTATTTTCCCATTGCGTGAGCATTACCATCCAAAATGATTAATCACTAACGAAGTTTGACTCATGAAGGAGAATTTGTTTATTATTCAACTAATTTATGCATGGTGGCGCTGTCAAATTAAAATGACCTGATTTTGTTTTCGAACGACACGGAATTCTGAAAGAATTCGTATTATTAAATATTTGTAATTATTATTTTACTACTATATAGGATTCGCTAATTTTAGTGTATACGAAGTGGATGGATAGATGACCGTTACAATAAAAAGCCTCAATTAATAATTTCCTTTTAAAGCTTATTCGTCGAAAAATTCAATACATAAAAATTAAAGAAAATAATTTAACAAAAAAAAATCAACACTTAAAAAAAACGTTAAAGATTGCCGATTTAATAAAGTTCAATTCATGCACCCAAATAAGAAATTGGTGTAATTGTCACAAACACATATATCTAATATTTGGCTTTGAGATTTTTTTAAATGGGCATTTCATCCGTAATTCCCCTGCATTCATTATTTCGACGCGAATTCTTAATTTAAATTAAATTACGGGCTAGTTTCAAAAGTACATGTAGGTAAATAGATTTGAACGACGTCAATCATTATTTTCCACTGATTCATCCCTCCTCTATGGTGTAATAGTAAAAGAACTGGATCTTAATTTTTTTCTCCGGTAATATTTATTCACACAGTTAAGTCTTTTACGTAATTCTTTTATATGCCAAAAAATATTCATTCTATCTTTTTATGTGAAAAAGAGCCGAAGAACCAATTTTAGGATAGTTTCTCATCAACGTGGCCAAATATCTTTTGTATATACTTTATAAGGCAATCTTTTCTTTTTAAAAAGCTTGGCAAGCGCCAAGTGGTGAGGACAATGTTTACTTCGAATCATAATGCAGTGAAAATTAGGGGACAAGTCTAAAGCTATTAATAGAACACTTTCGAAATGCTTGAATCAAAAGTATACAGAATTTTGGCGTTATTTATTTCCGATTGGTTGATTAATTTAATTTGAAATATTTTTTTTTGTCAAAGCAAGATTACATGTATTCTGCGGTAATATTGAAAGTTTTTCTCCGCTCCTTCCCACAATATTTCAGTTTTTTGTTACTGTATGTATATGGCTCTCCGGGATAAATCGTCACCCCCAACACGCATTTATCATTGAAGATCCTTTTAATTCGATAACGATAATGTTCACATAATTTATGCACGGTATGTGTCAAATCGTCGATTTGTTTGTGATTTCCTAATTCTTTTCATTGATACAAATTTTTTTATCAACTAATTGTATTTGTGAAATGCCAAGAAAAACTTCGTTTATCTATGCATTACAAATTCTGCACGATTTTTATTTGTATCGTGTCATAATTTTCTATACGTTTCGTGTTAATACTTTTTATTATTAAAGAATTTATCCGTGAACCATTAGTGAATCCCATTAGTAGTCGACTGCCCTTCGGATTTGAAAGCAACCTACTTTTCGCGTACTAAAAAGTCAATATCAACGACATTTAAAAGTTGCTTACCAACCTACTTTAGTGTGAACTCTCTTTATCATGATATAATGAATGGCATATCGACCAAAGCAAGTTAACGGCACCTCTGTTTAGCTTTATTTATTCTCTCATAGAAATATAAATAAAAAATTCATAATTGCATGTGTAATTGTTTGAGGCTTTTTTGAATGGTCACTAACTAACTTTATTTAATCACTGAAAAAAAAGACTAACCGAATCCATTCGATTTGTCATCATTTTTTTTTTTAACTGAATTCTTAAAAAGAATAATTTTTTATCACTCTAAAGATGACTTGAGACTTCTATAAGCTCATGTCATGTGTCATATTAATTAAAAAAAATTGTGACGGAAAAAATCCTTGTTCGAAAGAAGCTTAAATTATAAAAATCGTTATATCCAGTATAATTATAATTTTTAGGATGAACTAATAACTTTACATAAAAATTTTTTCCAGGATTGAAAGAACACGTCTTGTTTTAAATTAACGCTCTAAAGACATTTCAAGTAACCAGTTATCATGTATGCTAAGCGAGCTTGCGATTGAAGTAAGTGTGTATTATAACCCAATATATAAAGTAACAGCAATTACTCTAGCCAACATCAAGCCATAATTCACAGCACAAAATATCCTTTTTTTGCATTTTTCATATTTTCAATA